TAGGGAGTGACTAATGCATTGTTTCTGACAATACAGGACCTAAGGGGGTTCCAATGTTATAATCACACAGGGAATTTAAAACAAACTTTTGTCATGCAGGGCATAATTATTTTGTGGGACTCGTTCCACGGGATGTTACAAGTTCAAAAAAATAAGATGTATCACTGACGATGGGTCCATGGGGGACTATTAACATGATGTTACTGTGGCAAACTCTGGCTCAAAGTCCTCTGAGCAGCTGATTGCTGGAAGCTGAGAGATGCACAGGGATTTCTGATTTGTCCTGTTTCTTATTCTTGTCCTCTAAGAATCTCCCACTAATAGCTCCAAGACAGGACACGGGGCAAGGATGGATTTGAGCCTGACCTACAGGGATACGTTCATGTGCATAGCCCAGCTACCCAAGAGAACATCACAGACAGCAGAGGAAACGTGGGGACATGGGATATGCTCACTGAACGAATGGCATGGCCTGGTGGGTTTTTTTTTTAATAGCCAGATGATGCAAAATGCCAAATCCACTGCGACTTCCTGCAGTTCAGGTGACCTCAGTAAAGCCAGTTTGCACCAGCACTAAGGTACTTGCTGGTGCCCTATAGGGGAAGTGTTTTCCACAGTATGCCTGGAATCGTGATCTCCTGACCATTCAGCCTGTGGGACTTTGTGGAAAGTGTTGTAGCATCCTCCTTACACACAGAGGCAGTTTGGTAAATATGAAATATCTCCCCCTTAGTCACGAACCACTGTTGAGGAAGGATTGTGTATGGAGAAGTGATCAGTGTGGAAGAGAAATTCTACATGAGGTTTTGGCATGAACCAGTGGTAGAAATGCCTAAAGACTGGATTAAAGCTTCACTGGCTTGGTAACATTGAGAAGTGTTAAGAAAGAGAGGATGTCTTCCATATAGGATATGGTGTGGTAATAATGCTAAAAGGCAAAACTATAGAGCAAATTCCATGTGCTATGGTGAAATAAAAGACAGGAAGAAAGTCAGGAAAGGGCAGTGGAAAGATTCCAGCTGTCTGGCTGTTGTATGGACTGGACAAGGCAATAGAATTTGTTGAAATTCAGGGAATGATGTAGGCAGGCCACAGATTCATGTCTGAGACTGAAAGACAAAGGGCAAGGCTTGTAGTATCAGTAAAGATGGGAAATGGTAAAATAAAGCTTTATAAGGCATCAAGAATATTTTCAATCCCTGCCCTTAATGGTAAATGGATGTCTGGGGAGGACTACTCAGAAAGAGGAACACAGGGACCTTCTTGTGTGTTCTGAGGTGAGGAAAACAGTGTTTTCCTTTGGGAAGGCTGCTTTGTGAGGTCAGCGGTGAGTGAACAGTAAGCACAGAAATGCCCCAGAAATGCCAAAAGAAAGGCTTGCTCCAGTGTCAGTCAGAAGAGGACAGCGATTCTCATCTGTTCCTCAGTAAGGAAGGGAACACAACTGTCTGCTCTGGCTCTGTCTAGAGAAAAGGAGGGAAACTGTTTTCTGCTGAGATACTTGATGCTTAACAGCATGGCATAAATCTGTCTCTCACTCACAATTTAAATGCAGCAGGCACAGACAACAGGGCCCAAGTGGGCCCAAGTGTCAGGTGTAGGAAAGACTTATGAAATTCTTTTGCTTTGGCAAGAATTGAGGGGTGAAACTTGGTTGTTTTTTTCTTTTGTGTTTGTCTTTTTGTCATTTGGTTTGTCTTTGTTAAACAGAATCATAGACTCACAGAACTATTTCTATTGGAAGGGACTTTAAAGAGTATCTAGTTCATCTTGTCAGGGACAACTTCAACTAGATCAGGTTGCCTAAAGCTTCATCCAGCCTGGCCTTGAACACTTCCAGGGATGGGGCAGCCATTTCATAACATGAAATTATTGAGCTACAGGAAATTCTCTGAGACTGGGTTTGAGTACTATTAAAAAAGCTGTAGAACACTCTTGTTCAACTCTGCTCCTACCAGAAGTGTCAGGTAGAATGTGATTGCAATGATTTCGCTCTGAAATCTTCTAAATGCATATGAAAATCAGGACAATAACCTCTGCAATAAATTCCACCTTGCACAGGAACAAACACCAACAGCCCCTAAAGTTATAGAAAAGAGCATGACTTTAATACTAGATTTCTGGAACTGCAATTGTAAGAGCCCTTTGGTACATCAACATAATAATAATGTCTGAGATTCCTCCTCAAAAGGCACAGTTTCTCTCAAATCTTCTGTTCATTCCTTTAAAAAGCAACGTCAACGTGTAACAGCCGTCACTACTGTATGTGCACCTCTCATCTTAAATTAGCACTTTGTATTATTGCATTTCATTTGAAAAAGGCTTTCCAGCAACCTATCAGGTATTTAAAGCCTCTGCAGTACAGTTGTAATGATACAGGTTGCTTATTTATTTAACTGTTGGGAGCTTGAAAGCCTCTTTCATCTCCCTGTATCTATTTCTATACGTACGAATTATGAGACCTTGAATAATGAACGTGTTATTTAAATCGTGCTCTGACACTACATAATGCTGAGAAGTCATTTTATACAGTTCACTATTCTCATAGTCAATGGTGCTTGACTTGATTACCAGTGCCTCATAGCTGGAGTAGATGTGGGCAATGTTTTAAATTTGTTAAAAGTCAGTTAGATAAAATTGTCTTGAATGAAACAGAGTAGGTTGGAGAGCTTATTCCTGCTGATATTTTCCTAGATGAGTCTTAATTGTCATGCATAAAATACCCATGATAAAGTAAATTTCTGTATATATTTAAAAAAAAAAAAAGAGAGAGTAAAGGAACAGCTGAATGTTCTACCTGGTCTCTGCAAAATTATAGTGGAGGAGACAAACCCAGCCTGACATCCTGCCTTACATTCCTAAAAGGCAATTCAGGACAACCATTGAGTTTACCTAGCAAAGCTGGTTTTACCCTCCAATATTGATCTGCTCAGTGATGCTCGTTTGACCTGCTCAGCAAAGCCACCATCTGTATTATCATGATGCATCCACATAGGAAGTGTTCTGCACGTTTATTCCTGTGTGACAAAGCACTAAGAGGTTAACTTCCAACTTCTGGGAGCCTGGAAAAGGGCAGATTTTAACAGATGGGGGGGGGGAAAAAGGCTTTCTGTGAGCAGCAGAACTATGAAGCCTGGCTTGCCAGAGGTTGTGTGTTCCTTGTCACCTGTGAGTAGGTATGGCCGGTGGGCACGGCATCTGCTCTTAGCTAGCACACAGCTCCCAACCAGCACGTGTGCTGCAACATCTGAGCTGTCTGCTTTTCCCCAGTGGAGGTCACCAAATTGGGTTATTCTCCTCCAAACTAAAACCTGTGGGAATTTCACAGTTTGGAAGTTCCTGCCTTTAGACTGTAAGACACACCTGAAAAAGGCAGTTCTGAAACACAACCACCTTTCAGATCAAGGCAGGATCAAGCTGTAGTGTCACCAAAATTGGTTTATCTTTGGGTAACTTCAATTTCAGTGAATTTTATGAGATGCAATAAAAATTTCTGTTGGAAATATTTTGAGCCGCTGTCCATGTGGGTTACCAGTCCTCAGGTATCACATCTATTTCTCAGGGCTGAATAATATGCTACCAGTCAGGGCTGGCTTGTGCCCATGTCACAGTTCTTTTGCCTGCACTTACAGGTCTCTTTCTTCCTTTTCAGGCACATGGAAGAGACACTGCTTGTGGTGCAACTGGTTTTGATACCCTCCCCCTTACCACACTTACACACACACAGAGAGTTTATCCATTCTCTTTGCTACATGAACCGTGGATAATCCATGCGTTCTTGTCTCCCCACACCTTTTTGATCAATTTAAATATCTAATGAGATCTTAACCAAATGGAAATAAAAGAAATCTTCACTTTGAGATCTTAGAATTCTTGTGACATGGATTTGAAGCAGTTTATGATCAAATAGTATTTTTTAATTTGTCTTGATTCATGTGAAAGTAATTTGAATCCACATTAGTATTCTATGAACTGATCATTAACACTTTTCAACTGATTTAGTAAACATATATTGCTCCCAAAATAAATAGAAACAGGAAAGGAGCACAGTTAGTGTAGCTGAGGCATGAAAACATACACATTAACATGCAAGGCAAAACTCCAGCGTTGAAATGGGGCAGCACATCGAAGTTATTTTTTCTAGCCATGTTTTCACATCTCCAGAGGACGCTTAAAAACGATAGAACGAACATCCTAAGATACATCTTTTAATAATGCTGCTTCATACTTCGCTACAAAATGGTGAACTGGTTGTAATAAATGAATTGGCACAGCCCCCCCTGAAAATATTGTGTGGTTCAGGAAGAGATGACACGGTGAAAACAAAGAGCGCATCTTCCAAGGGGGGTGGCTCTGTGATGATTCGTGGGGATGTTCCCACAGCCCTTTTGGCACATGAAGCTTCTCAAGGGGCAGGGTCTGTGTCCCAGATGAAACCCAGTCAGTACTGGGCTAATGCCTGGCATGTTCAAGTCTGCAGTGGCCCCATTCCTGACACTGTGGCAAACAGGTGGAGGGACTTTGCTTGACCTTTGCTGAGAAGCACACAGACCCCCTGCAGACCGTCATTTATTCCTGTTCTGTCACCTGTTGCTCTGTTTCGCTTTAAATGGAAGTAAGGACCCTTGAAAAAGGTCTTTTCCCTCAGAAGCTGATGTGCTAACTATTAGCTACGGAGTATAAGGATGAGGGAACGCTCCACCTCTTCCTTAAAAGAAAGGTAAGTGCCCACTTTGAGGGATTTGCCCAGTTAGCTCACCTAACACATTCTGTACCACCTATGAACCACTTAGAAGACTATCAAACTTTTTGATCCTCCCAGGGCTGAGGTATGAAAAAAAACGCTGAGTTGTTCAGCTTTGCTAACAGCATGAGGCTTCTGAGTGTTTCCAAAATCACAGACACACAGAAAATCGACAGACTATAAGTACCTCTGGCTTTGCTGGCTTGAAGCTCAAAGGCTCTGTTTCTTGCAAGCTGGGTCTGGGTCCCCTTTGTAGACTTAAGTGTGATTTGCTGAATGCTGTCTAACCAATACTTTGGATCAAGGTGGGAATGGAGCACCTGTGCCTCTCAGTCAGTTTGGTGAGTGAGGTGTGTTTATTGGTGGGAAGGTATATGTTAAACCTCAGCTTGTACAACTTGGGTGTCATCTCTCTCTGAAAGCTCCATAGTAATTCCTCTGTGAAAGCTGGAGGGTTTTTTGATGCGATGTAGCTCTCTGACAACTCACTTTGTGTGCAGTGGCCGTGCAGAAGGGAGAAGGACATCATACTTGTATTTCTGAGACTTCTGGAGTGGTCCCCAGACTGCTAAAATTGACACCGTTTCAGGTGTTTCAGGATGGTTGCTGACAGCAGCCGAGAAACATTTGGCACAGCGTGAGAAAAGAAGTGCAAAGGTGACAGTCTCCTTCCCTGGCTGGCTGGGCTGGTTCAGCATCCACCACCTGCCAGCAGACCCAACATGCCAGGACAGCCCCCTCCTTGTCTTTGGATTCATCTGGACTTGAAAGGTACTGAGAAGGTTTGAATTCATCCGCTTACCTCATGCCGGGAGAATGATTCTGCCTGGAATCTGCTTCTACTTGGACTGTTTTGCTGTAATATCTTATAAAAGATCTTGTAGGAGTGTGGTAAATGTCTGCAGTGCCACACTTTGCTCTGTTTTCTCTATCAAATCTCTCAGGGTCAATCTTATCACCACAGTGAGGTATATTCCAAATTTTTCCTTTCTGCTCTGGTGCGTCCGTGCTAATGGGGGTATTCCCTTGCCAGAGAAAACAAGCACCTCATTTTGAAATTTTAAATTCTGGTTCCAGGTTAAAGCAAAGATTTTTGCAAATACTGCAAACACTATTGCTGACTGGCAGCTATGTCTCGGCTGCACATATGGAAAGATGCAAATTTTTTGTGAAGAGGCATAAAGTGCTTCCTGAAGCAGAGATGTGAGTTCTCATCAAATGAAATGTGCACAGGGGGTCATTTTTTAAAATTTTTTTGCATTACATTATAGAAAAAGGTTCATTATAGGTTATAAATAGTAATGATATGGACCACACTCTCGTGAATTCAGCTCTGATTAGAAATGCACTGAGCTACCAAAAATAATGCACCCAAGCCAGCTTCCTTAGGACTGCAGTTATCTTCTACATAAATGCATCTTTAACCAACAGCATATAAAAAGAGCAATGATGACATCCAGAGGACAGATAGTTTAATCATAGGTACTGTAGGTATCCTCAGCAAATTTCCTGGGGATATATCCCTCACCTACTTTTTCTGTTTAAAGTCTGTTCCTATTAAATCAGTTATTGACAGCCTGCTGAGTTCCTTTAAATCGTGGCTTTTGTGAAAACTGACCTTGTAAAGTTGAGTGTTTCACCCCCAGTGCAAAAATTATGTGTACACGGTAAACTTCTATTAGTGTAATCATTTTTGTGTGCATTATCATTCTATGTTATGGTTGAATCCAGCTGAAATGTAAAGCACTCCTTTAAGCTATTGGTACTTTAGGTTAATCGCTGTCTGGCTTACTTCACCTGTAAGGGCTCCTACTGTGGAACCTCTCCCTATATGTAGGTTTTTATCTAATCTGTCTTAGTAACCTTCCATACTCTGTCTTGGCAGGTTGTTTTTGGGTTTGATTTTGTTTGCAACTGCAAGAATACTGGCCAGGTGCACCATATGTAGGAGCCACTACACAGAAAAGCCTCCCAATTCCACCGAAATGTCTGTGGATGGGTGTCTATTTTATTGACAAATTTGAAAGAGATACATTACCAATGTTAGCCTGTTAAGCACAGCTCCACAATCAGAATTTAATTGAAGCATGTTACCTATAATAGGTTCGGATATTTGTGTTCTTCAGCATTTTATGAATTCAGAAACAGATGGGCTATGACCAGGAAGCAGTGGAGAACAGACTGGCGTAAAGCAGGTTGGCTCTCTGACAAGTGCAGGTACAGCTGTGGTATGTATTTTATTCAGCATGCCCACCTACTGTATCAGCAGCCTGCCCTACCAGCAATTCAACTACAACTGCCTTAATGAAGAGTAGAAGTAAGCATGAATCCAGACTTTCCATGGATCATAATATTTGAGAACCCAGAAGAATCAACATGACGGAAATCATGCCAAGTAATTTTTTTTTTTTCCCCCTGCATCTTTATGTGCAGGGGATAACAAAAGCATTGGCTTTTTGAAGGGGAAAAAATACCCCCACAAAATGGAGTCAGTTTATGGTATATTAAAATATTTCCCTTTTGGCCTTTCTTAATCACTTCTTTTAAAATGAAAGAAAGAAAACCTTAGCAAGTAGTAGCTTATAGCTTAAATCACCATAACTGTGCCAAGGAACGTGTTGAAGAGCTGGCTAAGAGTCCTTCTGTTAGTAAAAGGGAATTTATATGGGTGACAGAAGGGCCAGTTCTTGAAGATTTCATGCAAGAAGAGTACAAAGGATGTTTTTGCTCCAATTTGTGCCAATCTTTACAAGTCCCATGGGGAAAGAAACTTCTGTGGCTGAAGAGGTGGTGGAAAAGAATCCTTGATGTGAGCATTCCTTAATTGAGAATGTTCTATTTGCTATTTTATGCATTTAAAAGAGCTGCCTCTCTTTGTCTTTTGGCATTCCTGAGCCATCTGGTTGAATAATCTTGCATTTAGGTATATTTTACCACTCTATCTCTGTTTCTATATCGATTTGCCTTCATATATTGTAGCCTGCAGTAACCTACAGTAACCCACAAAGTGAATTTGGAAAAATAACAACCCATAATTATTTTAAATGGTGATTTCTGTGACTTGAAATATTGAGGTAATTATCAAGTTAAATTTCTATGATCCCTGCAATTTCTATGAACCCTGGAGATGTCATCACTTGAGTTCTGGCATAACTCTTAAAGTAAAATTATGCCACCTCAACCTAAGGTCGTAATTAAAGATGTAACAAAGCTAAGTGAGAAAGGGCTATATGATTTGAATTCAAAGCAGAACAATCCCCATAATTGTAGAGGGTGCAAAATTAAACTAACTGGCCACAAATTCCACCCTTCAGGAGCCACAAAGTGCAATCTGTAGGTGGACAAGACTCTTGCTGATGCAGCTGGATGAAGGCAAAGGAGAAGCCTGGGATGTGGGTCCAGGAAAGAACCTGCAGGACCACTTGCTTTGAAAGGTGAGTGGTTTCTTATAGAATGCAGTAAAGACTTAGGAAAAGCCTGACTAAGAGAGGGTTTTATAAATCTAACTCTACTGTGACTTTTATTTGGAGTACCACTTTGGTCTCCAAAGTGAGACTATGGAACATGTTTGCATAAGTTACTTTTATTTTCACCTGGATTTCTAAGAAAAACTTCAAACACAACTAAATAATATTGTTAAGAGTTCTGATGAGCAGAAGAAAATGCAGCCTAACATGTATGTGCATGTGCACCTCTATGTGCAAGCATGTAGGTGGACTGGTGCTTACAGGTGAAAATGAAATCCTGGAAGACTGTTTAATGAACATTCCACAGCCTTATTTTAGGGGTTCTTTCCTTTGCTGTAGTACAGGTGCTGTAGGAGTGGGAGCCACCAGGGTTCAAATGACAAAGACATGACTGGGAGTGCCACTTCAGGACGGCAAAACAAAGAGCTGCCTTTCAAGAATTCAGCTTCCCAGTGCAGTTGTGCCAGCTGGGCAGCACATGCTGCGTATCTTGCTTACATCTTGGACTCTTGAAGGTTTTCTTTTCTCTCCTTCTCTTGTCCAAGCTTCACATTTAACCTTTGAGGCAGTTTTGAATATATCCCTTCATAAATCACAGTCCAGTAGCACTAACCTCAGGCAGCTCTTTAGTGTTTTTGACTCCCTTCTCACACTGTTCCTCCTCAGGCTTCTGCTGGTCATTCTCATTTCTCTCCTGATGATTTTGTCACTTCTCTTCAATGTAAAACTCAGGGGATCTATGAGACTGTACACTGTGACCGTGTTTGTGATGTTGGGGCCTCTGCCTGATGCTACACTTCGCTTCATTTACCTTTCTCATTTCATTGCTTTCCCCATGTTCCAGCAGTGCCTCCTGCCCCCCTGTTCCTGCTATAGGGCTGACATACTGTCCATCAGATCCTGTCCCCTCCAGCCTCCACCAAAATATGTTACCTTTCATGTTGGTGACTCCCTCGACTACACTAAATCTTCTGTGTCCTCTAGAATTTTTTCTCGTTCGCTTTTAAATGTCCCCCAGCTGTTCTTGTGCTGAAAAAACACCTCTGGACCTACCGATCCTTCACAAGCTTTTTAAAACCGTTCTCTGGTATTTCTTCTGTCAGCGTTTTTACAGCATTTCAAGACTAGTTGGTGTCACAAAAGTGAAGAATATTTCACAGTGAGGATAAAATACTACAGTCAGTTCCATACAGGCTTAGTTCTGAAAAGTCACTTAAGTGAAGTGCGATGCTGAATGAAGGGAGTAAGTGATGGCTCTTGGAGATTTGTCCAGAAACAAAAATATACCTAAGCTGTAACTCAATTTTTTTTTTCGGATGACGGGTAAAAAATTAGCTTTAGATATGGCAAACCAAAAAAACCCCAAACTAAACAAAAAACCCAAGCAAACAAACAAAAAACAAACAAACAAACAAAAAACCAAACAAAAAAAAAAAAAGGAGAAAGAAAAGAAAAATAAGAGTTGTAGTCCTGTCAGCTCCTGAGGTCCCATCCAAATCCTACCAGAAGGGACCCCATCCTAGATCACCAATATCTTTGCTGCTGAGTGCTCTGGATGCTGGCACCCAGCTGTGTTGGCAAAATACCCTTTTGCTAATGGAAGAACTGGAATGTGGTGTCCTGCAGGTAATGAGTTCCCAGGAATGCTGGATAAACCCCAGAGCAGTTTAAGCCTTGTCTCTTTTCCGAAGCTGGGTGCCTCTACCAGGCAGTCCCACTGAATATCTGCAGTGTGTGAAAAGCAGGAGTCACAATTGTTCCTGAAAAGAGTTCAACAGGATGATTTGGAGAAGCTGCTGGATTCAAGGGGTCTAAGCATAGGAACAGCATTAGT